ACACTCCATATAATGATATTTAAGATCTCCCATTATTAAATATCCTCTTCAAGCCTCAGCACTATTGGAATTCTTAAGTTTTGCTATCTAGTAGTTATAAAATGCAATCTCATTGTGTTCCTAATTTACAATTCCCTAACGGCTAATTGGGTACACTCCATATAATGATATTTAAGATCTCCCATTATTAAATATCCTCTTCAAGCCTCAGCATTATTGGAATTCTTAAGTTTTGCTATCTAGTAGTTATAAAATGCAATCTCATTGTGTTCCTAATTTACAATTCCCTAACGGCTAATTGGACTGAGAATCTTTTCATATGCTTATTCACCTTTCATGCTTCCTATTCTTTGAAACATCTGTTTCTATCTTTTGCTGTATGGGTGTTTTCTTTCTTTTTCTAACTGATTTTCGAACACTTTTAATATATTCTTGATAATAAGCCTTTGGTGATTATACATTTTGTAAATATCCTCTCCCAGTTTGTGACTTGTATTTTCCCTTCCTTTATAGTGTTTTTTTGGATAAACAGATGTTCTTAATTTTAATGTCATCTAATGTATTCAATCTTTCTTTTATGGTTATTGCTTTAATGTCTTGCTTCATAAATCCTGCCAAGCCCCAAGGTTCTAAAAATACTATTCTATATTGTTTTCTAAAACTGTTAAAATTATAACAAATTACATCTTTAATTCTTTTGAATTCACTGTGTGTATGTTAGTATGGAATGAGGTAAGGAATACAAATTTATTTGTATCTATATAAGTATGAAAGTTAGGGTTTGTTTGGTTTTTAACATTACCCTGTTTATAATGGCCCATTTCTATTTATTGAATAGCTCATTTCCCAGTGATCCTCTTTTCCCAGTGAGGGTACTTTAAAAATTTTGTGGAAATGTAGAATTAAAAGACAATATCAATCTTTCCATGAACTCTGAGAAGACCCCCTGTATAGCAGGCTTCCATAAATACATAGGTCTAATTGGAGGCTCTCTATTCTATTTCTTTGGTCAGTTTGTCACCACCAGTATGAACATTCATTGTCTCAATTCCTGCAGCTTTATAATAAATCTTGATATCGAGAAGGGGGAGCTCCAATCTACTTAATTCCTCTTCTTTAGGAGTATCTTGACTATTCCTGGGTCATAATTCTTCTATATACATTTTAGAATCAGCTTGTCAAGCTCATTGAAAAAGCATATAGGCTTTTTATTAGAATTGTATTGAATATATAAATCAATGTAGGGAGAACTGACATTTTTATGATATCAAGTCTTCCTCTCCATGTGCATGGGAATATTCTTTTACTATTATAAATGGCATTTAATTTTGGATTACATTTTTTATATTTGCTTCCAGTAGGTAAAAATGCACTCTCCCATTAGTTACAATAATCTCTCTGTAGATTCCTTTGGATATTTCATATAAACAATTATATCATCTATCTGAAAATAGTCTTTACATTGCCTCAGACTCAGAGACATGAGCTATATGTGGGTACCTTAAAATTAATGGCTTTTCACTTCTACAGCATTATGAAACAGCAAAATAATAAACTCAGATTTGTGCATAAGAAGCGTGAACAAACCTGCTTGGCCTAGGGCATCCAAAAAGCCACGGAACCAGCCTTCCTCCTGGAGCTCCAATAGGAACTTGAGAAAAAGTGTGGCAGCCTCCATTGCGCCCTTGTTGTTTTTCTCAGCCTGAATATACTGCAATTCATCTACAAACAGAAACAAGAATGAATCAAACTGCAGAACCACTACTAATCACTGGAAGAAAAACCAGAAAAAGATTGCCAGACCTTTTTGAATGGGGATGAAGATTGTAACTAGTCATAGCATTGAAAGGAACTTCAGGAAAGCAGTGAATTTTCTGCCCAGGCTGATTATGCCCCTTCTTCACCAACACACCCTCCCATCCTCTCTGGAAACTTCTCCTAGTTTGGTGTAGAAGTCTGAGCACACACTCTAGAAAAGGAGTTTCCTCAAAATGTTTGAAAAAGTCTCCCCACACAAGGGAGAAGTTATGATAGCACTGATCAAAGAACAAAAGCTTCCTCTGACATTTTGATCATGTTCTGTTCAAAAGCCTGAATCAACTCCTGGACTAAAAGAGTGTGAGAACAGGACCACTCCATGGCATCAGTAACAATTATGGTAGACTCAGCAAGCTGTTAGAAATAAATAGAGATACTTTCACGGTCCTTTTTGTAGGTTTTTCCTAAGCAGGTAGGAAATATAGCAGAAAAGAGAAAGGGAGAGGAGCAAAAGAGAAACACGGTGAGGACAGCTGGCAGAAAACTACCCACCTGCAGGTGGTCATTGACTTTGTACACTAACTCTGCGGCTAGGGAGGAGTGATCAAACCACTGCCTCAGTAAGACCTGATGTTTGATCATTTTCCATTTCTTCCCCATTTTTGATGAAATGCAAATTCTAAGAGAGTAAGCATGTTGTCTGGCTGGTGAACCACTGTATTCTCAGAGATTAGAAGAGGACCTGGCACGTAACAGACACTCAACAAAGGTATGCTGAATGAATGAAGGAAAAGAAGGAATGTCATATTCCAGCTCTAGTTAAAGGGATCTTAATCAAGGTCTCTGTCTTGGCAACAATAAAATTAACCTTTTAAAGTGTAAAATTAAATGGATTTTAGAGTTGTGAATCTATTATCTAATTTTAGTACACTTGCATTAGTATAAAAAGAAGTCCTATACCCATTAGCAGTCACTCCCCATTCTCCCTCCCCTCAGCCTCAGGATATCACTAGTTGACTTGGGTCCCTATGGATTTGACTATTCTGGACATTTCATATAAATGGAATTATACAATATGCGGTCTTTGTGACTGACTTCTTTCACTTAGCATAATGTTTTCAAGGTTCATCTACGCTGTAGCACGTATCATTCATTCCTTTTTATTGCCACATTTTGCTTATCCACTCATTAGTTAATAGGAATTTGGGTTGTGTTCACATTTTAGCTATTATGAATAGAAATGCTGTAAATATTCATGCACAATTTTTTTTGTGTGTAGATGTATGTATGAATAGAAATGCTGTAAATATTCATGCACAATACTCATTTCTCTTGAGCATATACCTAGGTGTGAGATTGCTTGGTCATATGGCAACTCCATTTTTTAACATTGTAAGGAACTGCCAAACTGTCTTCTAAAGGAACTGCACCCTTTTACATTCCCACCAGCAATCTAGGAGGATTCCAATTTCTACACGTCCTTGCCAATGCTTCTTATTATCTATTTCATTTTTGCCATCTGTATTAGTTTCCTGTGGCTACAATAACAAATTACCATAAACAAGGTGGCTTAAAACAATAAAAACTAACTTTCTCACAGTTCTGGAGGCCAGAAGTCAGCAGGGCCACACTTCGTCCAAAGGCTCTAAGGGGAACACATTCCTTGTCCCTTCCAGCTTCTGGTGGCTGCTGGCATTCCTTGGCTTGTGACTATACTCCCTCCAGTCTCTCTGCCTTTGTCTTCATACTGCCTTTTCCTCTTTGTCTGGCTTGTAGTCACATCCCTCCACTCTCTGCCTCTGTCTTCACATGGCATTCTCTTTGTCTCTGTGTCTTCACTTGGCTGTATTCTTGTGACTATACTCCCTCCAGTCTCTCTGCCTTTGTCTTCATACTGCCTTTTCCTCTTTGTCTGGTTTGTAGTCACATCCCTCCACTCTCTGCCTCTGTCTTCACATGGCATTCTCTTTGTCTCTGTGTCTTCACTTGGCTGTATTCTTGTGGGGACACCAGCCATATTGGATTAAGGGTCCACGCTACTCCATTATGACCTCATCTTAATTCAATAACTCTATAGAGACACTGTCTCTGAATAAAATCACATTCTGAGGTATTGCGGATTAGGACTTCAACATATCTTTTTTGGGAGACACAATTCAACCCATAACAGCAACCTATCTTGTCACCTATCCCAGCTTCTCTGGGCCCTCAACTCTACCCTATTCCCTTGAGTCAGTTCACCCTGTTCCTGAACCCAGTCCTTACAGCTGTGTTCTTGTTCCCAGGACTCTCCACAGCTTGATTACGAGTACTGATTACGAGTACTGATACTCCATGTGGCAGTCCAGATTTATCCCAGCCACAGCTGAGGCCTTACCAGGTGAACTGCCTTGCTGTGTCCTGGGCAGTTTAGATTTACTTTGCATGTGGTCAGGCCCATCCTGCTGCTACCTGGCCCCAATTTCTGCTGCTACAAGTGGTGATAATTTTGTCAAAAGCACTGGGAGTTCACCCATCTTCAGCCATCAGTATTTCCCACTGCCCTTGCTGCCTTGGGGACCTCTGTGTTGCCATCCTCAGCTTGCCAAGGCAGAATTTGCCAATCCCTTCTCTGTGCTTTCTCAGTCTCTTTACAGGCCTCTGACTAGAGCACTTAAACTGCCTGTCTTCTCCCTTAGACTGTGACTATGGTCATTTTGTATTCAACTTTGTCTTCATCTTTGTATTCTAATCATCCACACAGTGCCTAGCTCATGCATGTGTCCAGATAATTTTACCAAAGGAATGGATACTCAGAATCTGAATATTGCCTACCCAGCGCCACTCCAGGATAAGGGTTAGTCTTTGACTCCAAAGTCATATTGAAAAAAATCTGTAGCCTACCCCCAGGTCTACCTCGAAACATCCTGGTCAACCTGTAGACAAGCAAAGCCCTGCAATATCCAGGGAACCATGCAAGTTCTCCAGAAGAAACCTGGCTTCTGTGTTCCTTTGCCAAAGTGCAACTAGCACCAATGACCACAATATTCAACTTGTGGAGAAAAGGATTACAGTAAAAGAGATTCTGTATGGGCGTGGGGAGAATACAGTAAGTTCCCACTGTCTTCTAATGAGAGGAAAAAAATATGAGTTAAAAATTTATATCCAGCTCATAGTGTCTCTGGTCCCTGACTGAATCCTGACTGATGAAATAGACTTGTCACAATAAGGTTAATGGATAGAATCCAGAGCTTCCAAAGCAGCCAAGGAAAAAATAGGGAATAGAAAAAAATCAATCAATCTTACAGAAAACAGAAAAAGCAGGAGGAAGAGCAACAGGTGTATGAATACATATGTACATTTTAAAGTTTAAAGACATGAACAGGATGATATAAACCAACTTTATAACAGCAGTTGCCTCTGGGGAGGGGATCGAAGATGTCAATGGCATCTTTAACACTCAAAAATAAAACAATATTATATGCAGTGTTCTTTAGCTTGCCTTTTTATCTTGCCTTTTGGCAATCCACCCAAATCACACCACACAGAATGAATCACATGTAATATTCTGGAAAACATCCTTCTGGGTATCTAATCATATGTATAAACATATAGTTTTAAGTGAATAGGATCCTATAAATCTGCCTTTTTTCACTCATTAATAGATTATAGATGTTGTTTTCCATCAATAAATATGAATCTATATCAACTTTTTGTGGCTGCATAGTTTTAAATCACATAAATATATTTATTTAACCCATTCCTTATTAATAGATAATTAAAATGTGTTTAGTACAGACACATCTATGTCTTTGCCTGCTTTACCTACCAAATTTTCCTTAGAATAACTTTCCAGAAGTATAATTTCTGGGTTAAACAGTATACACTTTTAAATGTTAATATGCATTGCCCACTGCCTTCCAGACAAACTGTACAGATTTACCCTCTATCAATAGCATATGAATGCCTGCTTCCCTCACAGCACTGAATCTGTTCAATCTTCATAATCTTTGTAAAACTGAGAGACAAAAATAGACCAAACAAACAAACTTCATTGTTTTTAACAATTTCTTATTTGTTTCCTCCCTTGGCCACTGTATACTGTATTTCCAAACTTCATTGTTTTTAACAATTTCTTATTTGTTTCCTCCCTTGGCCACTGTATACTGTATACTGTATTTCTTTCTTTCTCTTTTTAATAAATTTCCTGTTCACGTTCTACAGCTAGTTTTCTGCTGGGGTCATTCATCCTTTTTCTGAATTAGATTTATAAGAATCCTTTGTGCATTAGGAAAAGGTTATATTTTCTAAATGGTTTTTCTAGTATTTAAAAACAGTATTAGTTTTTAAATATCTACTGCAATAAGACTGAATGAACTCTACTAGTTCCAATAATTTAGGGGAATTTTTTTTCTGTTCTTTATTTTAGCTGATTTGCTTTCTTTGGAGTTATCTGATTGCTCTTCCTGTAATTACTGGAGTCAAATCCATTAATTCATTAGTTTTCATTCTTTTGAAATACCAATAAATCTACTTAGGCCATAAATTTTCCTCTGATTAAAAGCTTAGCTGTGCCTTAAACTATGTAACATGGCCTCACTTACTTTTGAAAGTGGGTATAATTGTTTTGATTTTCTGTTTCCACTAGGAGTTATTTTAAAAAATGGAAGTGTATGAATGCCTGTTTCCCTCATAACACTGAGTTTGTTCAATCTTCTAATAAATAAAAGATAATTTTGAAATTATCTGATAATTTTTTTAAAGACCAATGATTAATTTCTGGGATATAGAATAATAGCTAACATTTATTTAGTGCCATGCACTTTAATTCTCAAAATAATCCAAACACAATTGTTATTCTCATTTTACAGATAAGGAAACTAAGGTACAAAGGAGTTAAGGCATTTGCCCAGAGTCACAGCCTATCGATTAGAGAATAAAACTCATATAAGCTATGCTTTGGGATATTTATTAAAGATTTATCTGTAATCTAATATAGGATCAATTTGGCAAAGCTTGTT